CTTCCCTTGTAGACGAAACCTCTCCCAATTTCAGTGTTCTCTTCGGCAAAATGGAGGTTGCCTATGAGCCACTCACAGAGGGGGGGTCGACGCACGGTTCGGAAGCCCAGCAAGCGGAAGCCAGCTCCATTTCGGCATCCAAGTCTGGAGAAAATGCATTCCCGCCAAAAACGATTCAAGAAGAGTGCCTCCCGTTGTGCCGTCCTACGCGATATGACGGGCGGCGACATGCAGAGGCTGTAGAGGAGTTCCTCAATTCCCTAGGCCTATACCTCCACCTTCCACCTTCAAAATGCCCCAGAAGAATTCTGGGGCATTTTGAACTCCTCCGGGGCTCTTCCTTGTTAGAAGGGGACGCACGGCGATGGTAGCTACACTTAAGCAACGGCTCCGCGTTCCCGGAGCATATCAGGTCCATGCAGGCCTTCCGGGACGCGCTACGTTGCAGGTTTATCCTGACGTCCGCAAGGGAGCAAGCACTGGCGGAACTGAGAAAGCTTAAACAGGGGAAACTGTCAATAGAGCGCTACATTGAGAAATGCCAGTCCTTGGTGAACCGAAGTCCTATGGTGGCTGCGGAGCTCCACTAAAATTGGTTTATAGCGGGGCTGGACCCCAGAGTGAGGCAAGCAGTGACTGGCTGGCTGGGCCTGGGCCAGGGACAGGGAAATGAGGGGCGAAAAAGTGGAACTCGCTGGCATGATGGAATACCTCCGCAGAATGGAAAAGAAGAACGTCACATCCACAGCCTTAGCTGAAAAGGAAGAAAGCGGGCCTGGGAACGATCCCGATTTGGAACCAATGGATATTGGGGCTGTGAACACCAAGCCAGATAAACACGGTGCTAGAGGCGGCTACCGTCAGCAGACGGCGAACTCACCACCTAAAAAGCAAGACGGAGACTCTGGACGGCGTACCTGCTTCTTCTGTAGTAAGGCGAGTCACTTATTTCGAGATTGCCGGCTTATGAAAAAGGCTAGGTAACAATTGAGACCGAATCCCGAACAGCGCAGCCAAGGGAACAAACAGAGCAAGCGGGGAAACGCCCGGGCCCCTACGCAACGTGCGGCGCAGTGAAGGGGCCACGCGAGATAACGTCCGCACGTACAGACCCACGTCGAGTCAATTCAGTACTTGTACAAGTACGAATAAAGGGACAGGATTTAATGGCCCTACTCGATACGGGA